ATTCATTCATCAATATTGCATGCACCGGGCTCGGTGCATCACACTAACTGCATAGTATTTCAAATCTAACTTGAATACATGTTATCTGTTGCATTTCACATGCCATCCATAGATTAGCCGAGCCTATTCTAGCTGCATTTTGCCTGCGATGCATTAGCCATCTTAACATGGACTTGGATCATACATTTGATTACTAACATGTTCCTTGATTTGGCTTGGAGTACTAGGTGAGTGTTTATGCTTTAGCATCTCGCATGAGTGTGAATGTTAACATGAAAGCATGCTTGCCATGAGGCTAACCGCTTAGTTGATTTACTGCCTGAATGCCTGTGGGGGAAGGTTGGATTGTTTGAGTTGGAATAATTCGTCAAAACCATGTTTTAGCCTACTTGCGAGTAGCAAACTTCAATCCATTTTCAAAACAAACGGATGTGCGATGTTTTGTTCTAACTTAGGCAATCCAGTCTATACTTGTATGTCGTACGCATCACATAGTAAATCTAGGCTAATAACCGGAATAAGAATGCATAATGTTTTCAAAGCTAGATATCATGGTTAGTAGAGGCCGATCTTTGATCGGGCGAGCGGGGGTGCTCACGAAATGACCTTCCCCAATCGTACCCAAGTTCCCGAGCCGAGGCAACGTTGGTGATGACGGACATGTGGCCTTAGGCAACGAGTCAAGGTTTCCTAAATTTCCCAAAATAAAAATACTTAGGTGGCGACTCTGTATCTAGCAAAGCAGTCCATGTTTGGCACTTCTTTCTAAAAATCTATTTTTCAAGACGATTTGCCGAATTTGGACTCTTTGGTGATTTATCAATCTCACATCGCACATTGTGAGATCAGATTAAGAACCATGACAATCTGAGAGTCCGACCTGTAATGAGCCCAAATGAACAAAACGGAATTCATCCTCCCGGGGCATTCAGGGACATCTACCAGAAAGGTGAGGCACTACCTGTTAGCTCACTCTGTAATACTGGTTTCGAGATTAGATCCCATCAAATATCTCTTTGAGAAACCAGCACTTACGGGTAGGCTAGCCCGTTGGTTGCTTCTTTCCTCTGAATTCGATCTAAAATATATGACGTACAAGTCAGTGAAAGGGAGAGCGGTAGCGGAGTTCCTAGCCGATCACCCAATGGGTGGGGATGAAGTAGTGAAATATCTGTTCCCAGATGAGGCCATTTTGCAGCTTGAAAAAGAAACCTGGACTATGTACTTTGATGGAGCGTCAAACCAGTATGGGTATGGGATAGGGGTGTTACTGATAGCACCCGACAATTCCCGTATACCTTTAGCTTTCAAACTCCGGTTCAAAGTATCGAACAGTGAGGTAAAGTATGAGGTATGTATTGCTGGACTGGAAGCCACCCTGGAACTAGGGGCAAAACGGTTGGATATCATCGGGGACTCGAACCTTGTTGTATCTCAAGCTAAAGGAGATTGGAAAGTTAAAGAAGAAAAGATGAAAATCTATCACCAGACCTTAGACGTTCTAATTCCTCGGTTTGAGAAACTAAATTTCGCTCATCTGTTAAGAGAGAACAACAGGTTTGCTGATTCATTAGCAACTCTATCTTCTATGATAAACATCCCTTTTAGAGTCCGGATGCGCCCGATCATCATTGAACATAAATTCGTGCCGGCCTACGAGCTGATTGCCGCCATAGATGAGGTACAAGATCAGAATCCCTAGTTTTATGACATCTGGAACTTCTTGAAAAAGGAGGCTTATCCACCAGGGGCAAACGCCAAAGATAAGAGGGCGATACGAAAAATAGCTGCTCAGTTCATCGTCTGCGGGGGTAAACTGTACAAGCGGGGTCATCTAGGGATGCACAAACTATATGTCGATGTTGAAGAATCTAAGCGCCCGATGGAGGCCATCCACGGAGGAGAGTGCAGAGCGCACATGAGCGGGGTGATGCTAGCTCGAAAAATTCTCAAACAAGGTTATTATTGGTCAACCATGGAGGAGGATTGTATTGCCTTTGTTCGGCGGTGCCACAAATGCCAGATCCATGCAAGTCGCATGAACATTCCACCGTCGAAGCTGTACAACATGACTTCGCCATGGCCGTTTTCAGTTTGGAGGATTAATGTAATCGGGGCAGTCACTTCGAAAGGGTCGAACGGGCATGAGTATATTCTGTTAGCGATAGACTACTTCACAAAGTAGGTTGAGGCCCAATCCTATGCTGTGCAAAAGGCATCACATGTTGCTAAGTTCATCAGGAACAACATTATCTGCTGTTATGGAGTCCCGAATGAGATTATTTCGGATAATGGTTCCCACTTCAAGAAGGAGGTGATCGACTTGTTGGAGAAGTACAACGTGGCTTTTCATAAGTCATCCACATATCGGCCACAAACCAACGGAGCAGTTGAGGCCGTCAACAAGAACATCAAGCATATTCTGCAGAAGATGGTGGAAGCCTACAAGGACTGGCCAGATAAGCTGCCATTTGCTCTTTAGGGCTACCGGACTTCAATTCGAATTTCTACTGGGGCAACTCCGTATTCCTTGGTCTATGGGATGGAGGTTGTTTTGCCTATCAAAATTGAGGTTCCGTCATTGCGGGTTATGGCTGAGTGCCAGATAGCTGAGGCAGATAGGCAGCAGAGCAAGTCCGAAGAACTCATGCTATTTGACGAGAGAAGGCTGAAAGCACTATATCACGTCCAGGGTTATCAATAAAGAATTGCCAGGGCTTTCAACAAGAAGGTTAAGTCCAGGAATTTGAAAAAAAGAGATTTGGTGCTCAAAGACAATCAAGCTCCCATCCACGACCCTAGGGGCAAGTTCAGACCTAATTGGACTGGTCCCTACATCATCAAGTCAATCTGGTCAGGTGGAGCTGTCGTTCTTATGGACCTAGATGGCCTTGAGTTCTCCTAGCCGATCAACATGGACAAGTTGAAGAAATACTATCCCTAAGTGGCTCGCTAGGCCGAAAACCCGAAAGGGCGACCTAGGCAAAAGTCAGAGCACAAAAAAAAAAGAAAATA